CTAAGGGCTGGACGGCCAAGGGGTCGGAGTTCTAGTCCTGGTAGGGGCAAGATTCTTCTCTCCACGTCGTCCAGACTGGCTTTAGGGCCCACTCAGCCTCCTGTCCAATGGGTACGGGGGGCTCTATCCCGGGGATAAAGCGGCAGGGGCGTGAAGCTGGGTGCAGAGGTCAAGCGAACATGGATCTGTGCATCCACTCCCCCATACGTCTTCATGGCGGAGAGAGAATTTTATACCTGATGCGCCGTGACAAGTGAGACAATTTGCTTGAGAGTTCCGTTCCCTGTCGGGGCGGCAGTGGAAACCACTGACCTCATCACGCGTAATTACAGTCCGTTTGTATTGCAATTTAAAAGGCGGTGGTGGAGGAATGTCGTTATACACTGTGCAGTAGTGGGGCCACTTGTCGCGGTCGTGACGTCCTGTCTGCTGTCAACACAGCGCGACCGTCTGTTACCCAGCCAGATTGTCTGCGAGAAGCATCTCTGAAGGTGCTCTATTGTAGCCCGTTACGTCATCAAGAGAAAGTCAGTAGATGCTCTAGACACACGAATGGGATGCAGAAATGCAACGAAGTGACCGCCAAGAAGCTACAGATGAATGGAGCCTTGGGAGGAAAACCCTGAGGATGTTATAGGCCTGAAGAGGACCAGTAGCAGAAAGGACTAACCTTCCCTGAAGATGGAGCCACTGCGTCACAGCGAAAGGCTGATGAATCGTACCGGTATAGCGATGAGCTACGGGCTGGAGGACGGGATTCGATTCCAGGAAAGGGAAGATATTTTTCTCTTCACAGCGTCCAGACCGGCGCTGGGCTCCACCCAGCCTCCTATCCAATGGGTACCGGAGGCTCCTTCCATGGGAGTAAAGCGGCTAATCTTGGTAAGAGTTTACGGTAATGGCTGATGCGGCCATCTGGTCACCTTTGTTCTGCCCTGGCCTGCACTGAACAGGCATAGCCCCCTGTCACTTGCCTGTATACAGCACCGGCAACAGTCTTCTGGCGGTTTCGTTGTGCATAAGCGGCCGATCCAGGCGCCTGAAACAAAGGCATACTCCGCGCTCCTCCGCCACTGTCGCTGACAGGTGCACTAGAAGCTTGCCGAACTTTCCAAAGAATGTACTGCCTCCATCTTCAGGGTAGAAAAATACTTCCAGGAAGTAAACAAAGAAGCTGCACATTCCTTGCTTATTTTCATCTGCGATCCTGAAGAAGGTGTCAGTACGTACATACGAAACGTCAGAGAACTTCTTCCACACTATACGGCGTCATATCCCAGAAGATACTTTTGTTCAAACGATTACGTAATGTTGTGAGTGTTACACAGCGTTTAGAGTAGATGATTGGAGTTGTTGCACTTATGCACTCAGCTCGTAACTACAAATGTTACAGAACGATCGCTGATCTACACGCTTACAGGTCACCGTTACACACACACAAGGATTCTATCGTCACTAGTCGTATCCTGGCAACGGATTTCAACACAATAATTATATCAGTCTCACTGACTCTGCAGCGCACATGACGTCTTCTTTGCACAGCCAATTCCTTTCTTACCTTCTCTTCTCAACCATTCAACTGCCATTTCTAGAGGCTTCCTCAATTATTATTCAGCTGGCCTGGGATCCTCATTACGCAGCCTCTGGGGACCCCAACAGAAAACATCGTTTGCTTACATATTCATTGCCGCGGGAACCTGTTTACTGAGTCGTTACCTAGCAATGAACGTCTACTCTGGCCCCGCTTTTGTGGCTTCCAGGCGTCATGTCACAGTACATTCTCCATAACTACACCCTAAATTGGACGATAATATTAAAGTCAATCTTAAAGAAATATAGTGGAAAGTCCTGGATTAGTTGAATTCAGGCTGGCTGTTGTGGAAACGGTATTTAATTTTCGGATTCCATTAAGGCGGGGTCTTTGTTGAAGAAATGAGCTAGTGTTAGCCTTTAAAGAAGATCTGTGGCCCCTGAGGTTGCTCACACGATAATAAGATTTGTATTTTACACTGCTTACAAATGTCGTTCTCTTTACGATCCATTTCTGAGACGACTGTGTGACGTATTTAGATAATGTTGAACATCTAGCAAACCAGGAGCAGAACTAGGCGCTGTGTGAAGAGTTTGCAGCATTTCTTGGTCATTGTTAAAACCTGAAATTAATTTAGTCAGTTATTTCGTTCATAGTTTTTCCAGGTTTTACGTAAGTTATCCGCCATCACGGCTCTGGCACGTGTGCGTGGAATACCTTAACACCTGCAATGGTTCTGAATCAGCATCAAACGAGTATAAAGTCGAGTGACGTGTGCAAAATCACAGAGATGGTGTACGTAAAACACGCGACGTTTCTCAAGCTGTCCTGTCTCAGTGCGAATGATTTACAGTGATAAGTTCTTGTAATTTAGTGCAGAGGTTGTGTTGCGAGGAAGGAAGACAAATCTTTGACAAATTGTAATGGAGTGATTTATAGTCCATTGTGATCAACGTATATTTCTTGGTTGCACGCGGGCCCTCACAGAAGAACAAATTGTTGGGTCGCTTCCCACCCTCCCAGTAATCTTGCGAGTCTTTTTAATGCTGACCTAAACTCACTTCTGCACGGTCCACTGCCTACTCGGCCGCTCAGTGCAGTGACAGCCAAACTCCTTCAGTTCTCGCAGTGTCTGGACCGTCTGGACGTTACGCTGCCTTTTGCGGAACGCCGTAGGAAGTTTACTTGTTTATGCTGTTATTCGGCCTAGGAACAATATTAGGAACGGAAAATGTGCCGTGTCATAGCCTGCGCATCTCCAATAATAATAATAATAATAATAATAATAATAATAATAATAATAATAATAATAATAATAAGTTAAAGCTATTCCTGTAACAGTCCATGCAGACCCGTATGGTTGTGAGATGTTGAGGTTCCCACATTTTCTACACAATCGGCTCACAGATGACGGTGAGGTTGTCAGCCTCACGCGCCGGCCGCCCTTTACCCCCAGGAAGATTTCTGGTACTCATTTCTGTTAGAGGCTGAGTCCACCCCAGGGCCATAGTGCGGCTGGAAGGATTAGATCAGTTGAAAAATCCAATGACCTCTTCGGGAACCGAACCCGCGACTTTCTGGTTTGTAGCGTAGTGCTTCAACTAACTACGCTAGCGCGTAGCAAGGACAAATGATAAAGAAGAATAGAATTTATGTGATTGATAGACAATTAGTGTATGCCTCTGAGATTTCAAGGCAAATGAAAGATTTCTCAGATGCATTTTGGAGCAGTGGAGGTGAAGGGTACATAGTGGAAGAGAGATAACCGTGAATCGGATAAGCTACTTAATGAGCCAGATATTACTAAATATACAAAAATTAATAGATTAAGTTGGGCTGGACATATGTACATAGGGCAGTGAAGAAGCTGTTTGGTACCAGACCTGAAGGGTCCATGAAATTTGGAAGGCCAATGAAATATGAGGAACGTGTGATCATGATATCAGGCAGGTCCCTGCTGGATGAAAAGAGAAGACTGGCTTAAGCCTCTGAAGAAGTCCAGGCTCCACACAGGGCTGTCTAGCCAGTGACGATGATTGGCAGATATACAGGGTGATTCTAAACTATTGTCGCGTTTTCCATATTCTATAAACAATAAATTAGAATCACCCTGTATATAAAATTAAAAATTGAGAAAATTGTACACAGGGACTCGCACATCTCTTAGTGGTCTGTGGGAGCATGTTTGGAAAACACTGCGCTAGTACATTGAACTAAATAAGAAGACAGACAAACAAACAAACAAATTGGCCGCACGTGATGTCTGGTATCTTGCGGGGAGAAGTGGGGGGAGTTACTGAGAGGAAACAAGGCCTGTATTTATTACGCGAGTTTTAACCTTTGGCCGGCATATGGACGATGCAGAGAGCGTAGACATGCCTCATTTGTTTCGGGAGTAATCACGAGGCGGCCTTCACGATGATTTGTGCGAAATGCGCCTCACGCTGACAGGTCTGATTGAGTTGATGCTCCACTGCTCCGGTCCTGCGCTTAGGGGTACCGGGTTCCTTTCTTGGCCCAGACACATACATGCTCCCTGCTGAATGATCATCATGATTTCACTCTGCGGCCACCTGTTCACGCTCGTTCCTCGCTCGCCGATTTTTTCTACCCTGAAGATGGAGGCGATACGTTCCTCCGAAACGTCTGTTTACACAACACCGACACGCCGCCACTTTCCAGAAAACGGTATTCTTCATAGTCACCGCCGTAAAAGCCTCAAATTGTACATGATTTCACTCAGTTACTTCAATCATAATAGTACGTTTATTAAACATTATCGTCGCCAAAGATGACACCGTGTAGCCTGGCAGATCGATGCAGACTTTTCAATAGAAACGTGCAGTATCCATCTTCAGGGTGGAACGGCTTACTCCCTTACCATGGAGATGGAGGCAGAAGGTTCATCCGAAGCATTGGTATCAGTAAACTTGATACGTAGTGGGCTGGGAAAGCGGTTATGATTAAATTCATGAAGACTGCCGTCTTCTGAGATGTGGGGCCATGTAGATCTTGTGTAAACGGACGTTTCGGATGCACATATCGCCTCCATCTTCAGCGTAGAGAAATCCGCGAGCGAGGTGTTTCTCGACTGGTGACTCAGTTGTAGCCACCTGCTCAAGCTGGTTCCTCGCTCCCGGATTTTTCTACCCTGAAGATGGAAGCGATGAGATCCTCCGAAACGTCGGTTCACACAAGATCTACATGGCTCCAAATGCCAGAAGACGGCATTCTTCATAGTCACCGCCGTGAAACCTCAAATCTTATTTAGATCCATGTCCTGTGGGTTCGAATCTCTGCTGAGACACCTGCTATGCTAGTTTTTTGTTGTTGTTTTCTTCAGTCTCTCCAGACAAGTGTCTGGATTATAACTCCTTGCGAAATCCTTCAACTGTCACCTACCGCTCGACGCCATATGATCCTGCTGTTGAGAGCGTCATGACGTAACTGATGTGTCTTGTGTTCCCAGAGATGCATCCCGGGGTTCGAGAACGCGGCTTTCAACGTACTCGTAGAGGCCACCAACACTTGCGGCGAGGAGCGGCCTACGGAGTTCTGTGTGCAGACTGGCACTTCCGGCACCAAGAAGTCATGTGAGGTGTGCTACGGCTCGGGGCCCCAAGCACACCCTGCCGCCTACCTCACAGACTTCAACAACAACGAGAACCAGACGTGGTGGCAGTCGGAGACCATGTTCGAAGCCATCCAGTACCCGAACCAGGTCAACCTCACCCTCCACTTGCGTGAGTACAGCTGAAGGAAATTCACTTCCTGCGTATGAAAATGTAGGTAAAGTTAGGGGCCGTGGAGGCCCACAGGGTTGTGAGACGTCGAGGCTCCCACATTTTCTCTAGACAATCGGCTCACATGGGCTGTGAGTTTGTCAGCCCTACGCGCCGGCCGCCCTTTACCCCCAGGAAGTTTTCTGGTACTCATTTCTGTTAGAGGCTGAGTCTACCCCAGGGCCATAGTGCAGCTGCAAGGATTACGTCAGTTGAAAAATCGGGAATCAAACCCGCGACCTTCCGGTTTGTAACATAATAGTTCAACCAAGATAAAATTTTCACCTCCCTTCTTATCTTAATTTCAGGTCTGTGCAGTCCCAATCACAATTTTACTGCATATTTTTCTGTTATCTCCCTTCAGCCAAGATATTTAGATATTTATGTAGCTGTAGATATACTGACGCGGGCTATCTCTTTATAAAGGCACCCAGCAGAGTAGGTGTCTCCCCCTTCACCTGAGGATGGAAACAGATCCAGTTGCCGACACGTTGTGTTCTCCAGTTTTTAGAATACCGGGTGATGGACAAGTAACTCTGAGACCACCAGAAAGCTTTCTCGCCACAAGAGGGGTCTTTGCTGGCAAAACTCACGTACTTACAGAAAATCATCAACCGAAAAGAAAATTGATGACAGCAACTAAAGGAAGAGATGTTAGATTGTCCTCCCATCTATATTTAGATTACGCGTGTGGTTTCTTTCTTTTCCGGTCCTCGGGCTAAACTTTCGTATACATGCGTGCTACATGGCCAGCCATCTTAGCCACCTCGATTTCATCATGCAAATAACATTAGGTGACGAGAGCAAATTTTGAAGCTCCTCTCTGCGTAATTTTCTTCGACCTTGTGTTAGCTCCCTCACGGCTGCAGATGTGTCTTAGTAGCCCTGTTAGAGACCAACTCCCGTAACAGTTGTCCCTGTGCTTATCTAGTTAAGCACTGCGCCATGAAGGCGTATATGGGAGTGGATGTGTAGCTCCACATTTCTTGACCTCGGCACTAACTGGAGGTGTGTGGTCAGCTTAACGCCCCGGCCGCTTTACCCCCGGGGAGAGAACCAACCCCGGTTCCCCTTGGATAGGAGGTTGGGTGGACCCCAGAGCCGGTCCGGACGACGTGAAGAAGAGAAAATTCTTGACCATACCGGGACTCGAACTCCGACCCCTCAGTCGCTATACTGACTGAGCTCCTTTGTAACTCCTGTGACGATTTAAAAAGTATCACCATCTTCTGAGACTCCCTGTAGTGATTAAACATGGACGGGCGTGAAGGGACGTAAAGTAGTAATTAGGAACTGGTCTGTTTTAATGGACTGCGGGGTGAGGTGGGGGAGGGGGTAGAGTGACGAGTGCGCATTGGACGGGATGGACGCTGTAATAAGAATTCCCAGGCCGACTGCCATGACACAGGAATTTATTTCGATGAGCCCAGCGCACCTTGCCTGCTTGAGGATGACTCTGCAGTCAACACGTTATTTTTCATTCATACTGGAATCTGCTCCGAGCCGGTATTGCTACCGAGAAATCGGGGTTCGGTTCCCAGCAGCACCTCCACAGCGGCTACCTGGGGCTCTTTCCCTGGGGATAAAGCTGGGTCATGAAGCTGACCACTCCATCCGGTGCCAAGGTCAAGAATGATTGAGCTGTACCTTCACTCCACCCATACGTCTTCATAGCGTGGTCTTTAATTAACTGAGTGTAGAACAACTACATCACTAAAGTACAAAAGGTAAAAGAAGGTAAAGCTATCCCTGTAACAGGCTGTGGAGGCCCATAGGGCTGTGAGACTTCGAGGCTCCCTCATTTTCTAGACAATCGGCTCACAGCGGTGAGGTTGTCAGCCTTACGCGCCGGTCGGCCCTCCTTTGCCCACAGGAAGATTCCACGTACTCATTTCTGTTAGAGGCTGTCGACCCCAAGGCCATAGTACGTCTTGAAGGATTAGGTAAATTGAAAAATCCAGTGACCTTATCGGGAAGCGAACCTGCGACCTTCCGGCTTGTATTATAGTGCCTACGCTACCGTGTTTCCCTTGAAGGAGACACTGTCCCGAAATTTGGTTCGGGGGACTGAGGGCCACCACGAAAATGGTATGTGTCTTGGCCGGGTTTCGAACCGCACACAAGTGAGTACCGTGCCGCTCAGCTGAGCACGGACTGTGAACTGTATGCATGGATGCCCTCGAGTAAGTACATGGAGACTTGAGAGGCTGCAAGTGTCGGGGCCCTTGTTACATTGCAGTCCCATTAAAATGTTTCTTTTCTCCTACGAATTGGTGAGTCATGACATCAGATGGGCCTTGCAAGCGCTCATGTGTTACGTGGGAGGTTCTGGCGGCGGTGAATATTGTCATGTAGCATGCAGTTACTATAGACGGGGTTTCGGAATACATATTGGATTTATTGACCACTTACAGGTCGTAACTACAAATAGATATAACATTATCGCTATTTCCACACTTTTCAAAATCACGCTATGTCTTTTCCAGCCCTTAGTTTTGTCACTAGTAAGTTCCTAGTAACTGCTTCTAACAATGGCTATTCCTCTGCTTCCGGCCTCATGTCTTCTCTGAACGGCGGTTCCCTTCCAACTGAACTATTCTTGTTTCAGTTGTCCTCCTTATAACTCCTTTACACGGATCGAGTAGGAAACACCGTTTCCAACAGTACCTCTGTTGCTGCATGCGTATCCGTTGCTGCGGGAACCTGTTTACCGAGCCATTGCCTAGAAACGTCTCTGGTCTATTTACTTATCTCGCGATCGTTGAATAGTAACGGTTCTACACGCTACAATATGTAAGGTCACTGTCTTATGGGACAGTTTGGTAGGTAGGAACCAACGTTTGTTCAAGGTATTCTACTCTGATGGTGGAGGCAGCAGGATACTCCGAAACCCCAGTACAAGTAACCACATCTCAGAAGATTAATCTGAACATTTGCAAAGGTTGGAATCTCCAAATCACATTCAGCTTCGCCTATATGTGTGTGTTATATGTTATTGTATCGATATTTTGCTTCGCTACCTACTCTACGCTTGTCTAACTAGATGTTGCCCTTTTTAAATTTCTTTTTAATTTCGTGGGTTGGGGCGTGGGTTGAGACTGAGTCCACTTGGTACATTGGCCACTAGTGAGCCTATTGTGCCTGTCCTGGATGACAGACGGTTATGCATTAGTCGGTGGAATGAGAATTGGCAGGGGTAACCGAAGTACTCGGAGAAAACCTGCCCAGTACTACTTTGTGCATCCTTCATGGATTTTTCTCAGTCCCTACAGACAAATGCTGGGATAATATGAGGATTAGGCCGCTGTCGCTTCCTTCCAAATCCTTTCCAACTCATCATTCATCGCACAATTCGACGCTTCTTAATCTAGCTTCAGACAGCGGCGACAGGAGGACCTGGGTTTGATATCTGGCAGGAGTAAGAGATTGTTCCTGTTATTCACAGCGTTCAGACCGGCTCTGGGGATGATCAAGCCATGTAATCAGTCGGCTGTTGGGGTAAATTGACCGGGACGTGAAGCTGACCACTTATCTTTATGTAGCGCCGGGGATGAGAACTCGTCGTGGTATAGCCCAGTTCTCCCGTGCGTATTTGCCGAGTGACGCTTAACTAATTTCGTGACACAGTTCGCAAGGAGAGCCCTCCTGCTACTGGATAGTCCTACTGAATCTTTGCATTACGAAGACTAACACAGGAGCACGTGTTCTCCTGCGCTGCCGGTGCACGGATGACCATGAACTAATCCGCAAAAGAAGCCGATTATTGCAGACAGAGGAATAAATATGGATGAGGCATTCTCTGGCATGCACTTGTATGTATGTAAATATTGCATGCATTTGCTGACACAGCGGTACAGAGCAACACAGGATACGTGCCGGCAATGCAGTCCTCCATACCGCCCAGTTATTTTATGTTGACGTCTGAGCAGCGCAGTGGGGGAGCGAACCTGTCAGTGGTGGGGGGAAAGTAGGGCGGTGAGCTGAGATAAAGGTGAAGTTGTCCCTGCGCTTAACTATCTGAGCGCCACGCCATGAAGGCTATGGGAGAGTGCTCGGCACTAGCTGGAGGTGAGCTTCACGTCCTGGCCGCTTTACCCCCGGGGAAAGAGCGCCGCTACCCATTGGATAGGAGGTTAGGTAGACCCCAGAGCCGGTCTGGACGACGTGGAGAAAAGAAAATTCTTGATCTTATCGGAACTCGAACTCCGACTCGTCGGTTGTCGAGCCCGTAGCCAGTCGCTATGCCGACTGAGCTGTTCCGGATCCCGGTGAGCTGAGATAGCGGCAGCGAAAAGAAAAGACAGTTAACATCACTTACTATTGACGTCTGTCGCTCAATATCACACGGTGGCTTTCTCCTGTTACGGGACTACATCAAATGATACTCTCCCCACATTTTGTGTAAACCCCCCTATACTGAATTTGGTCGAAATCCATGAAGTTGTTTCGGATATGTAAATTCTGTCTATCTGCCCGTCGTTCCGCCCGTCCGTCCATTCAATATATGGCCCTACAGTCCTTCTGAACCTTGGCCGCTTTTTCGGTTTCTTAATATGAGGACTCCTTGGACGGGGGATCAGCCGTCGCAAGGCCGCTACCTACACACAGAATAAACACATACAGACATTCATGCCTTGAATGGGATTCAAACACGCGATCTTAGTGTGCGAGCGGGCGAAGATGGTTCATGTCTTAAGGGGCCCCTACACTTCGAGTCCTACTCGGCTCGGGTTCCAGTGAGCCAAACTCGTCCGTGTGTGGGTCGCAAAGTTGCGAGTCGGCTCATGCGTTTATGGTGAAATTAATCCGAGCCCGGCTCCCGAGTGAAGCTCGCCAAGCCGGACTCGCGAGCCAGACTCATACGTGTATGGGCCCCTTTAGACCGCCCGGCCACTGTGATGGGATATGAAAATTCTAGACGAACATACACGGCTTCCGCTTGTATGCTGTCAGTCTATGCA